CCGGCGGCTCGAGTGGCGAATTGTGGTCATGGTCCCTATATATAAGTCTTGGTTCTTCTGTATCAAACGCGCCACGGGTGTCGCTATTTAAAACTACTGAGAAGTGTTCCTTCTATGTATATATTAAATGTACCTACTCTGGAGGTCTGTACCAGATTTCCAGCTTTATCTGTGCAGGAACCAGGATTTCAAACCATTTGATTGCTACCTCATTTTTTATAGAATTTTTTCCCTTCTCTCACAGGAGGAGGTCCTATAGTTTGCCTTCCGTTATCTCTGTTAAGCTTGTGAAAAGTGAGCTACCAAGCGCCTGAGTCACCTTGCCGGAAGAGCTGGGCATTGGCACAGTAGATGGTGAATCTTCGGTGCTGTGTTATAAAGCTATAGCGCGAAGAGCCTTTCAAAATTATATACGTTTTTACTTCCATTTACAAGTATTAATTTGACTATGGCTTTATGACACTGCACCTAAATCTCATCTCAAGAGACCTCGGAAAATAAATTATTGGTATACGACATCATTGGAGCATTGCTGCAATAACTCAATGCTCTGTGATGGCCCCGGCAAGAAATTTTACTGGGGATTTGTTTAACGTCAAAAGTTTCTCAATTCTTTAAGTGATAACCTCGGTCAAAAAGACCTTGCCACAACTCATACATACGTCTCGGTTGGTGCATAGGTCATTTCTCCCGGTTGAAACCCCATTGATCTGAATTTCCGTGTAATTTACTATTTTGTTGAGAGGCGTTGACGTGGCTCGCGACGCGCGATATTTCGGAACAATTTTTGGCTTTACTATTTTGGATCCTAATGCTTTCTATTCCGCACTATGGTTCCTAGCCAGATTTTTTTCATATTTTGTCTAATAAGCTGATTACATGGGGCTCTGAAATGGTGAATCTAATTTATTTGTATGCTATAAACTCTGCAAAGAAAATCGGAGAAGTTATTATGCAATTTTTTAAATAATTTCAATGAATGTTTGATTTATGTATGTATATGTTCTGCGTGTATAATTTTGATAATGTTTTAGGATTTTTATATTACATACTTAGAAAAGGCCGCTGCGGTGTAGTGGTAAGCAGTGTGCGCTTCCGCTCCGCAATGCCTGGTTTCAAGCCCTGGTCAAAGCAACATCGCAAAAAAATATAGAAAAAAGGTTTTTTCTTAACAGCTGTCGTCCCTCGGCAGGCAATGGCAAACGTCCGAGTGTATTTCTGCCATGAAAAAGAGCTTCTCATAAAATTACAATCGCCGTTCGGAGTCGGCGTAAAAACTGTAGGTCCCTCTGCTTTGTGTGAAACATCAAGGCGCACGCCACAAATCGGAGGAGAAGCTCGGCCAAACACTAACATATGTGTAAGCGCCAATCTATTATTATTATTACATAGACAAGGTCTTATACAAAATATAAAAGATAGTTGTTCCTCAGGATACCACATTCTTATGACACTCAAAAAAGTTAAACAAAATAAAATTTAGGGAACAGCAAAGGGCTAAGAGGCTCCACACTTCTCCAAACGGAGCACTATATTTCAGTATTATTTACACTCTTTACCACTGGATAAAAGTATAAAGTCAGCTGCTTCCTGCCGGCTGCTTTAAATATCGTTATCCCCTCAAAAACTTTAAACTATTTGACAACAATCGATTAAAGTCAGATTAAAGAAGTTTAAGGTGGTGAACAAAATGGATATAGTATTTATTAGAATCTTTGAGAAACCATTTTTGCGGCCATTTTGACTTTTCAAAATTCGTGTCACATGGTTCGTGAAGTTTGATTGCACGAATTTTCAGCTTTTCGTTGATTTGAAACCACGAGACGAGAATCTTGTCGATACCATCCAGATTTATGTTGCCCCATTTGTAATGAATGTACTCCTGAGAAACAAAAACAAAACATTTCCGATTTGTTAAAAAAGCATAACTTGTTTACTTTGGTTTCGCGATAGAAAAACAGAAAAAATTAAGGGCACCTAGAAAGGCTTGTCGAACATGTGTCGAATCTTTGCGGCATTGGGTTAAAGGCGATAGAAGTGGCTTAAAGTTTTACGCGCCACGACTGTGGTAATATTAAGGAAATTATTGTAAAAGAAGATCATGTGAATACCCGAACACAGAGTCGGCAAAACGGCCTTTACCCACATACTGCAGAAATTCCTGTACCAATCTTTGAAGTACAACTCGAGATTTCATCGATTAATCACCAAATACCGCTGGACACTGACTCTAGTAGAGAAAATGAAGGTGAGGAAGACACCTTTAAGCCCTAATCGCTTGAAAACTAGAACCAATTAAAAATTTTTGATATCAGATTCGGGCTCTGCGGAAAAAATCCAATGAGGACTGGCTGAAATATTTTTTAACCGATACAAATTTTGTTGGCCTGTGTTATGTTATCTTAGATAAAGGTTTTAGCTTGAGTTTCTGCCTCTTTAGAAATTTCCAGCGCCTCAGATTCATTTAACACAAGTGATCAAACACAGCCAAAACAGTATACGATTGCTTTCAGTGTTCGGACAATAAATTTTTTATTTTGAGTATTAAAGGGCAGGGTTTTCATATCTTTCCTTGCATCAATTTATTGTTTTACAGAGGTTCAAAATGAGCAAAACCCCGTTTTTGGGGCACCTTTAAACATAAGTTTCTCGAAAACTAGAGCCAATCTAATATCTTCACGATTCGGATTCTACGGAAAAAATCTTATAAAAATCAGCTACAATATTTTACTCAACAGTTTTTTGTTAGGCAGTGTTATAATTACTACTGGAAGAAACCCCTGCTGATGGGAGTTATATTTCTCAGAGTTGATAACAGGCCTTTGATTACATGTTTCTATAAAACACCGCGTGCATTTAAATTAGTACATACATATGAGGCGTTCCATGTCGAACGGGTGCTGACCACGGGTAAACATTTTATCGTTAAAGTATCCTCTCCCATGTAACTAGTATATTTGCAAAGTGCCAACTTTTGCACAGCGCCTGAAAGACTTTGAGAGAAATACAGTAATTCTAAATTTGATTATTAAAAAATCAACTGACTTTAAGGGGTATTTTTAATGGATAGACCCTCCACACCCATAAGCTGTGCATGCCTTTGCAAAATTCAATATAGCCGTCACAATATGAAAGCTGAACTGTCTCGGCCTTCAACAGTTTTGCACTCTATTGGCGAATTTTTTTACTTAACACAATATCCTTTGCAATTTGCTGAGGACTCAAGCGTAGAGGAAATTTCCAACTATTTGTATACAGAACAGAAAAAATACTTGGCATCATAATGAAATCTTTGTAATTTATTTCAAAAGCTCATGTTTTTTTTTAGTTTTTCAAATGGTCAACGTTGAAAGTGCACAGATGTTTTATACTTTATACTTTGAAATAAATAGGCAGAAGTTTAATTTTTATTATTATTTTTTTTTTGTTTTTCCAATTTTTACCGCTGTCAAGATTAAGTTTACATGGAATTCCTCATTGAGGGTAACCAACACATGTAACTAAAGTTTAGATAGGCCAAGTCAACTGCTGACAAAGCACATAAGGACATGCCAACATTGATGTGGACACTTGATTGGCATACATTGTTTACGAATACGTTTATAAGCTAACTTTGTTGATTTTCAAGTGGTCTGTATCTGCGGTAAAGTGAATTCCACAAACATAAATTTTACGACCACGAAGACTAATAGGAGATTGTGAAATTTTAAAACCCTTTTTCTCATTAAATTTTGTTAGTAGTAATTTTACTGCATTGTAAGGCTAAAATTAATTTCTATATACGAAATAATGCGCAGTATACGTAATACTGCTGCCTGTCAGGATACAATTTTGATCAGATCAACTGATCCGTAATTTCGGATTAACCTTGTCGTCCCTTTATGCGATAAGGTCTGTTTGTAACAAAAATAATTACTATGTACAAAAGAAATCGCCTATGCATGGAAAAAACATTACATATATTTATGTTAGAACATGAAAAGGGTTGCCACCTTTTAAAAGTTTTTAAATAAATTTCGCTGAAATAATAATTATAAATATGGGCCCCGTTAGCATTGGTTTCGAAAAGGTTTTATTTCTAAACTACTGAAAGGAGGAGTGCTACCTCTATGAAGAACCAAATTCAACTTGAATTAATGGAATTAGGTAATTGAAATAGATATGTATCAAAAAATTGGTGTCAGACATTTAAAAAGGTTGTAATTAGAAAATCTTTTTAAGAGGGTTGCCAGCTGTTTTAAAAGTCGAATTTCATTAAATCGCATACAAGTTATATGAAACATTAAAATATAGGAGTCAAACGAAAGATTGTTAAGTAAAGAGGGTTGCCACCTATTAAAAGTTGTATTTCATTTCAATGCACTAAATAAGCTAAGTGAATTTTTATGGGTGTAAATCGTGTAACTTACATCTTGGAGGGTTGCCACCTGCTTGAAGAATTAACTTCAGCTTATATAAAGGAAATTAGGTAATTAAAATATGCATGAAAATATTGGTGTCAGCCGAAAGTGGTTTAAGAAGGTTTTAGTTTAAAAATATTTCGATGTGTGTTAAAAAAAGAAAAATGTGAAAATATTAAATTTATTTTTGGTTGAGTTTAAGTATTTTGAGTTTAATTGAAATAAATATAATTTAATAGAAATAAGAGCTCTCCACTCAAGTTCAACTGTGTGTCTCAAATTTAATAAATTTTTATAAAATCAATTACACAATGAGGTGTATATCGAGGCCGCTTCATAAGTATGAGTACTTCCGCTTTCTTTGCTAAATAAATTTTGAATGGGTATTAGCTGCTGGAGTGAGTGACACTATCGAAAACAAACGCACATAAAAATCAATTAGTTTTCTTGTATCAGTATGCAAAGTCACGCCAACCAACAAAAAATAAAAGCATTCACACAAGCATTAACATCAAAATGGAATGAAATCTTCATATGGCAAGAGGGAAGTTTCGGAATGACAAAAGCAGAAAAAAGTATTTGTTGGGGACTAACACTTACATGTAAACGCTGTGTAGCTGTTACAACTGCTGTTGCTGTTGCTATTGCTGCACGCCCGAGATAAAATGTTGTGACGAGCGATGATATCTTCTGCTATTGAATAGCTGGCTGGCGTTGTTGATAGATGAATGATGGGTAGGAAATAGCTGAGTGCGAAGTGAATGACTCGATGGTTGAATGCGTGAGTGATGTCCGTTGGCAGTTGACGTAAGGAAATATATATGTAATAAAAAAAGCCGGTTGAGTTAGTATTTAGCAGGCTCCTTATGGACTTTTTTTTTACGTATTTCGCTTATAAAATATGTCTTGTATTCATCGGGATTCCCGCCAACTAGTTATGAAAGCGCTCAAAACCCATTAGATAGCTGTGAATTCGAGCAAAAGAGTAACACACCCGCACACATGCAAGAATACACTGGAGCAGGTATACAAGAATACACAACTATAATTGTGTATACACATTCATACGTAGAGCGCAAGAGGATAACTCCCTTTTTCGGAGTAATTAGGAGCGTAAGTGTAGCAGATTTTAGGGCGTTGGAGCGCACTTTTTTTCGGAGTATCACTTTTTTTTAGATTTATTTTGATGCTTTCAAGCGAAGATGATGTCTTAAAGCATTTAAAATAACCTTTTTATTTTTTTTATAAATTATTTCAGAGCTTTTTATTATTTTGGCACCGATTTTATGCACCGCTATATTGCATTGTAAGAGCTAGATATCTGTTTAATTGCCACGACACGCCCACTTAAAAGTCAAAGCTTGCTCACTGCTATTCACTAGCACACATACATATGCAATGCTTTTAAGCAAAAAAATGTATACGTAACAAACAGCATCAATAACCACAAAGTGAGTGAGTACACCGGAAACGGACGCGCCTCCAAGTAACCCCAACTAAACGCAACGGCTCGGCTGCTCTAGTGAACTGTTAGTGTTGTGTCCGTCCCTTCGCTTGTTTGCTTGCTTGCTTTACGAAGTTTTGCGGGCGCCTGCTGTCGTCGCTACTCCCACTGCTCGCTGGCTTGTTTGCTGCGTTGCTTTCGGAAGCTGCGTATGTATATCTACTACAACAAAACAGACAACAGACAAACTGCAAAGTGCAACCAACTACTGCACGGACCTATCCCAAGCGTATCTTTAGTGCAGCATTCGCTCTCTACTTTTGCCGCAAATGCACTGTAGCCGACTCCTGCTCAGCGTAATTAACTTTTCACTTCACTGGCAGCGTCAAATTAAGCGCAACGCTGACGCCGTTTTACTTAAAACTTTGTTTTTTTGTTTTTCAAATTTCACGCACTTTGCAAAATAAACGGAATATCAACCGATCGCCAGCATGCACAATATGCGTGTGAGTGAGCGTACGTGTGTTGGAATGCTAAGGAATTTTAATTTAATTCCGTAAAATTTGAAATCCGACCAGCGATGTAGCACACACGCACCAACAAGCAAAGATGCGAATAGACACTTTTATTTCGTCGCCAACGTTCGCTCTGGAATTTTTCCGCCACTTCGAAGCGTACACCCCACTTGTTTTCCTTCGACTGAAGCGTCCATTCGTGCATTTCTTCATTCGTATGCTCGCTCGTGCACTGGTTGTGCTTTAAGTCCATGGCTGACATGAACAGCAAAAACCAAGATAACAGCGCCAGTTTATGTTGATTTTCCAACTCCTGCAGAGCGGAAGTTAAGTGTTCATAATGCCACCATGTTAGTTGACCTATTCGTTAAAAAAATGTTTTATTTTTTTTAAAAACTTAATTTCACATTTTCGTATACGAACCTCATTTTTTAATATATCAATAAGTACTATAAAAAACTTATGGCCTTATTCATACAAAATAAAGTAGCTTTAAAAGGGTTTATAAACTGAAAAATTTATGAAATCGTCATTTTATAAAGCTCTTTAAATCTACATTATTTTTATATGGATAATGCCATCAGTAGCGGTGAGAATTAACTGTTTCATGAAATTGTTAGGAGTACTTAAAATTCTTATGCCGCTGTTAAGTGCACTGCTAATTTAACAACATTTCCTGCTGTTGCAGGCAATTTCACATCAAAAGCTTATAGTTCATATATGTGGTTGATGTCTTTGGTACAGTTTTGGATACCTTACACAGTAAAAAATATTTAACAATTTTGCAGTTTATCGGGTGTGCATTTTATTCATATAATCCGCTTCAATAATCTGCATTCCTGCAGTTGGTATTAAATCACTATTCTAGCGTGTCGTACTTACTACGTAGAATATATACATTTGTACATTATTATGCTGACTTGAGTTTTAACCAAGAACTTTTTCTGAGATTACTTATACTATGGGACTAAATATATATGTATGTATATATGTATAGATCTGATACATGACATATTTGGCATGTGTGCGACAATAAAACTCCGTTGAAGGTAGTGATCCTAGTCTATCACAACATGATCTATTTGGCTATTCGTTCTTTGATCAGGGATGTGTGGATGTTTCGATACTGGTGTCTGGTGCTACTAACTACCATGTTCAGGGTCGCGGCAAAGTCGATCAGCCTTTCCGTTGTCGGAGGTGTTGTCATCAAGGCTGAATTTTCCGACTGTTGCCTTCCTTGCCCACCCTGGCGTTAAGTCTCCCGGCACGATTTTTACCTCTGAACCTCGTAGAACTGATCTTTAGTTTCATCGTCCTTTTCCCTCATCGGGGCGTGAGCGAAAATGGGTCTGAGGTGGTTGAATTATTGACTACTCGTACCTTGTAGAGCTTGATAAAGTTCACCTTTGGTAGCATTGAGTCTGTGAGTTCGACTACGGCATCATTTCCGAATGGCTTTAGGGCAACCAAATGCCCTTGTAAGCCCCCAAGGTTTCAAGATATGTCAGAGTATTGCTATCCGATCAGGTGATGTCTCGCTCGAAATATTTATTGTTTATATACCCCCTGTAACCAGATGCCCGGCAGGATGCCACCCTAAAATAGGTGCGCTCCTCAGAGGTGAAACCCGTATGGTAGTTGCTGACTTTAACGCGCACCACGATCTTTGCCACTCACCTGTTGAATGATCATAAGGGAATTCACTTGTCTGAGCAGGTAGACGATTCGAGCATTAGGGGCAGCTGCTGCAGCTCGCCAGATCTAACAATTGTCCGCGCTAGTCTGATAAACAGCATACCGTGGCGATCTATGCTGACGTTTGCATCAGACCATCCAGCCATAGTCATCTCGATTGATAAACCTTCCGACTTCGCTTCCGCGGAACACCGAATGGTTTCGCGGAAGTTACTGAAAGCGCCTTATCTGCACTTCCCTCGCCAACTGACGTTCACGTGGGTGACGCAAGTTCAGCAGTCCGATTCCTTCCGGCTGGATTTATTTCGGATACGTGACCGAATTTCCTCGGGCCGATCCCGGAAATCACCGCATTAGGGATCTGAATATGGCGAGTGGAAGGAGTGAGAAAAGTATCTGGAGACCTGTAACTTCACGTCTGTGTGAGCAAGCTTTGGTCAACCGTGAGGTCATTTTCCAACCTTTCGAAGCATGACGACAGAGTCGAAATCTCTTTCGACGACCACGCTTCGTCGGACCGAGAGCGATGGGGGAGATACTTTAGCGGACAGTTTACGCTGCATCCTCCGACGACCAAAGGCAAAGGTCGATTGACCAGAAGACTGCACAAACTGCCAACACCTAGTTCGCCTCTTGCTTTCATCAGCGGGGATGTTCGGGTAGCCATGGGGAAGGCGAAAGCTTCCAAAGCCATTAGCCCCGACCTGCCTATGGCCAGTCTTATTATTAAGGACCTCTAGAAAATTGGAAGAGTGGTCCCACTGCTCAAACTGGAGAAGCGGCAAAGAAAGGAGAGTCACTAACATCCGATAACCCTCCTTAAGGAATGTTCGATAATGGCATGCGCGAATGGAACTGATGACTTGTGCTCGAAAGTAAACGGTTACATATCCGAAATTTTTCGCTGCAGGAGTCTAACGCAAGGAGTCTAACGCTCAGCGTTGCCACAGACAAATTTTTTTTTCCTACCAAAATTTCCTACCATAACCAACCAAAACCTACCAAACATTTTTTTGAGTTTTAATATTTGTTTTCGATGTCAAATTTTTTAAAAACATAGTTAACATAAACTAGTAAAACTAAAACACAACTAGATTAATAAAAGCAAATTAGCTGCGTATAACGACTCATTTTACTGTAAAGACTTATCCATATGTATGTACATATGTCTCTTTACACATACATACATATCGTAACTAGATACGAATAAAGACGCGAGCTCAAAAGTTGATAGCGGAAAAAGAGGCATAAAAAAATTTCGGCGAAGAAAGACTCTTAACATAGGTGGCGGCAAATAAAGCCGCGTTAACCTCTTTGACAGCGAAGAAAGACCCATAAACTTATGTCCCGTGGTCAACTATATTTTCGAGTGCAACAGTATTCCCCAGAACTCCCCAAAGAGTTTTTCCGAGCTCTTTATTCGTGTCTAGTGACGATATTATTATTATTACGTCGAAGATACCCGCGCTGCGACCTAAGAAGATATATTGTGCTAAATCAAAATTGCAATCACTCCAAACTTAGGCTATTTAAAAAGCTCAGCACTTTGGATGAGGCCATGTTTCAAATTTTAGATGGAGAAGGCAATCGTTCTCCAAGGTGTATCAATCTACGATTCATGATTCGTGGACAGGCACATACAATATATTCTGGGGTTTCTTTCACCAGCCGACAAACCCTACAGTTCGTCTCTACAGAAAGACCCATTTAATTAAAACCGTACGTTAACTTGCAGTGTGCTGTCAGGTTGCCAGCAAGAGTTCTAAGTTCACGGTGTCTTTTGGAGTTCCTGCTGGAAAGAGTTATGCATATCTTTGATTGTCTTATTCCCTTTGACTTCCGCCAGTAGGCAGCAATTTGAGATTATTCCCAGCTAGATCCTAAGTAGGTCTGCAGTGTATCCTTTAGATGTACCACAGAAAGGCTAGGGACCATGCAAACGCATTTGAGCTTCACGCTTTGCGAGACAGTCAGCCCTTTCGTAGCCTTCAAACACTTCATACGTGACGCTATTCTGGGCTCGCAGGTAGTTCAAGAGTTTACAAGCCTTGATGCCGTTTAAAAGACTCTAAGGCCTTTAACGCTGCCTGAATGTCCGACATAATATTTATTCTGGCCTCATTTGCCTTCTACGATGACATTCGCGAACACAGACTTCGATTGGGAAGACTTCCGCCTGAAATATGGTTGAGTACGAGCCCATTGGCAGACTTTTCTGGAATCGTGGTCCGAGTACGCCATAAATTATATCGCTACCTAAAGGTGAAAAGGTGCCAAGTCCATTTTTTTTTTTCAAAGTTAAATTTTTGATGCAGAATGACAGGTAATACGAAACTACATCCATTTTTCGTCTCTCCGGAAAAATTTCTAAAAATGGACTTGGCACCTTTTCATCCTAAGGTCACGATATATGGATGTCCGTATTGCATATTGGCAATAATAAGGTATACGTTTGTACTTAGGAATCAGGTATATTTAAATGTTTGCGGCCGCCATTATACGAACGCCCCGGTGAAATATTTGTGTAAAAAAGGTTGCTAAAATATTTGGAGATACGAACATATGTTCTATTTTTCGCAAATAACTATTACTCATTGTTTCGAAACCTACCAAAATCCAATCAAGCCTACCAACCTACCAAATGGAAAAAAACCTACCAGTTTTAGTAGGAAAAGCCCATGTTCGGCAACACTGCTAACGCTCTCCCTTACGAAATCCTCGGAAAACCTTTTTACCACCTGGAAGAAGGAGATCAGGCTGCAACTAAGTATTCACGTCGACGGCGAACCAATTCCAACGGTGAATAACGCGAAAATCCCCGGAGTTGCCTTCGACAGCCCGCTATCCTTCTGATGCTACCACCGAAATTGTCAATAGAGTACAGAGCCGCAACAAGGTCCTCAAGTCGTTAGCCGGCAGCACCTGGGACAAAGTCCAAGAAACGTTGTTGCTAAAACGTAAGGCAATTGGCCGAACGGTTCTAAACTATGAAGCGCCCGTGTTTTCACCGGGTACTAGCAAGACGAAGTGGACGAAGCTACAGACATGCCAAAACACGGCCCCTCGACCCCGACTGGATGCCTTCTGATGTCGCGCCAACACCATAATACGACATCTAGATCCGAAAACTTACCGACAGGCCATAAACGGCGTTCACAGGGAATCGGTCTCAGCCTCGGAAGACTCGCACCACAATAGCCCAACTTCGCTCTGGCTACTTCAGCAGGTTAAACTCGTACCTGTGCAGAGTATACGCTTATGGACCCAGCTAGAGCCCGGCATGCGGAGACTCGCCACATGACACGTGCCGCAGCCGTCCGCGTTTGCGCGCCACCACTGAGAAACTTAAGACGCTGGGAGAAAATATGCGCATCGCATTGAAGGCTATAAAAACAATAACAATTTACCTTTACTTTCCAATAATTCGCTTATCAGTTATTGGCAAAAATACCGTTCAATTTTATGCGTATACTGCTTTTGCTGCTCTATGCAAAAATAGAGAGCAATTCGTTCAAAATACGTTCCATTTTATGCAAATGTATGCCGGTATACATAATTGGAATGTTTCAGTAAAATAATTCCAGAGAAAATACTACTCACGGCCTTTATTTCCTTTTTTTATGAAATAAATCAAGCAGGCGTTATTTCCATTTCTTTGGGAAATAAAGCCCGCGGCCATTACTGCGCTTTCGTAAAGGAAATAAAGCCCGCGGGATTTATTGCCTTTTATTGGTGGGCGCTATTTCCCCTTCGAAATGGAAATAACGACAATGCGCTTTATTTCTCTTTATTGGGAAATAAAGCCCATGGGCGTTATTTCCTCTGGCCTTATTCCACTCAACCGAGGGTGAGCTACACGGGGGGGTGAAATAACACAAACGGCAATAACGCAAATTTGTGTTATTTCCCATTTGAATGTGAAATAACACAAATTTGCTTTATTTCATTTCTCGTTGAGCAATAAGACCAACTTTTATACTTAACAATTTGAGTAATAAAGCAAACTAGTGCACATATGCACGTAGTCACCCAGTTACATTTGACAAAAAGTAGTACATGAACAAGTTAAATGGACGGATTTGTAAGTATACAATTTTGAAAGTGCCCGGCGTCGCGGCGGTCCGCGTTGGCGCGCCGCCCCGCGCCACCCCGCGCCGCGTTCCACGACGCGCTCGCGTCCCCCGCCCCTCCCCTCCTTTCGCAATTATGTACTGGTGGCATTATAACCGTTTAGAAAAAGGAAAAATTATAAAATAACACTAGTTCACTTCTGAAACTGCTTTTTAATGTCCAAGTAATGCGAATTATTGTGTATGGTGTTATTGCATGCTGCATCCCACCCATAGTGGAATTTACCAGGTGCCACTGCTTTATTTGAAAATTTGCCTATAAAATGTGACTATAAGGCAGCCGAATGTCAGAAAATAAAGCGAGAAATCCGTTTTATTACTTCATCTGTTTATTGCGACATGGTTCCATGCAAACATTTTAAGGTTTTCCAGCAATGTTTTTAACAACATATTAAAAAGCATGCAGAATAAATTCATACAAAAGCGCTATGTCCAATATGCGGAGCAGTTTTTAAAGACGATGCTTTTCCTATATTTTGTTAGACTTTTCATAAGTAAAAATATTTTGTGAATATTACTTTCTTCATATGAATTATATCACATTTTTTGTTTAATTCAAGGCCTATCAAACAGGTTTAGAGCATTTGAGCAAAAACAACATTTGCCTGTATTTTGTTGTTGCTTCTGGTATCGAAGGTGCCAAAAACTGTTCTGATTTTTTTCTTCTACATCAAAGCGTGCCATGCGAAATACGATAAAGGTAAAAAATTTAAATTGAAAAAATGAAAATTGTTGCAGCTTTCTTTCTTAGTAAATTGGTTCGCTTCTCGAAGCATTGATCCACCATCCTGTGCCAGGTCCAGTAATCAGCGGTTGTGCTGCTGAGTTGGTCGAGCTTTCCAAAAGCTGCTATTTAATCGCTGGTTTTGTATGGAAAATGTTTCACATGCAAATAGATTTTAACAATTCAGAATTTTTTTGAGAAGAAATGTTAAATATTTGACATTTTCGAGAACAAATAATTTGAAATAAATCAAATCAGCTGCTATACTGATATTACCTGTGCAATGTGCCTTGGTTTAACTGTATTTTTGGAATAAACAAAGTTCTTTTTGCTTCTGTCAGTAAACTGTGTTTTTTTTTACAAATAGTATACATAAGCAATGGGAAATAAGGCAAAATTTGTTTTATTTCCAACCTTTGTTGAAAATAAAGCAAAACTCAGATTTTGGTATTATTTCCCATTTAAAAGTGAAATAAAGCAAATTTTGCGTTATTGCCGTTTGTGTTATTTCACCCCCCCGAGCTACACTGCACAAAACTTAATCACATTCCCTTCAAGTCCAAAAGAGAACCCAATAAGTGTGATTAGTGTCATTAAGTGTTGTTTAGTTTTAGGTTAGTTTTTTTTCGATTACAATTGGGTTCTAAAATATAACTTCATGAATCGTAAACGTTATATTAACTAAAATAAAAAACACACATATTTTGTCACTGTAGAAAGTGTTTTGCAATTGTAATTTATTTCATGTATGTATTTGTAAATATTGAGTAGTATGTATGCATAAGTACAACACATTCATATATTTGTATACGCAAAATTACTTAATATCGTAATTATCAGAGACCATATATCTTTTTATCTTGAAAAACAGTTACTTATTAAAACTTGTTCCACTAAATTTGTTCGATATTATAATTGGTTTCGAAACGTTTACTAATCAGACACATTTAATTAATTGCCAGCTATCAATAAAACAGTAAACAAGTAAAGGTTCTTTATTATTATTTTTTTCTCTTAAGTAAATGCCATTACATTATTAAATACATTATCAGGATCAGAGACAAAATCAAATAAAAAAAAAAAAATTTCTTATATAGTATGTATGTATGTATGCATGTGTAAGATGTATAACATAAAATAAAAATACATGTAAATCCTTTTTTTCTACATACATACATAAGACGAATGTTATTGATTTCTACTTAATAGAACAGAACAAACTAATCACAGCTAAAATAATTGATGTGGATTAAAATATTTAAATTTCGTAATTTTTGTTTTTAATTTTACTTTGTTTTGAAAACTTACATCTAAAAGTATACAAACTGATTTCATTTCGAAAAAAAAACACATTTATGCATATACACCCCCATTCACTTAAATAGCCACATTTTTTTCTTCAAGATCCGAGCTGATCTGGATTTGTTAAGAGTGCTACATTTTAAAGAACAGAAGTGAAAATGAAGAACATACCTTGATTATTGGTTTTTATTCTTCAAACCACACGAAAAGTCTGCTTATTTGTTTAATTCACTTGTTTAAGCACATTGGCTTAAGCATACCATTCACTTTAGTAGTACTATTTAACACTTTTAGTATTGGATACTACAGGCTTAATGCTAATGGATGGAAAAAGCTATGGGTGAAAGACTTTTGTAAATAATTCAAGGTCACCTCGCTCCTAGCCATTTTAATTGCCGGAAGAGGCAGCTGCTCATCATTAAATGGATTGTCCAATTCCAAACATTTTCGTTGACATTTAGGGTCAGGTATATAATAAATATGAACGCTGAAAAAAGTACAACTTACTCCTTTATTGTTTCTTACATGAATTTTTCGTAATGTTTTAAACTTGAAATATTAACTGAACTATTCTAGAATCCGAAATACCGATCCTACTCGATCATACAGGGAAATTAAACAACGTTTGTCCTTTAAAAAATCGGTTATATTATTATTAAATCCGTTGAAGCGATCAACATTAAAGTTTTCGCCAGAGAAAACCGCAATTTTCTTGTCGTCCTTCCTAGACATGCGAGTCGTACAAAACTCAAGTCATGATTTTTAATGTTCTACATTAAAATTGTTGCCCTTTGAATGAAGACCAAAGTTTTTCTTTAATTTTGGTCCACTATCTCGACAATAAGAAACCGACCTCGTAACGGACTTTGTCATTTCTGCCTAGCTTTTGTGTTCTGGCTCGACTTCATGTTTTTTTCATACGCCTGCCTCAGCTATCAAACACATCGAAATGTATTTTAAATTCTTAGAAACTTTTAAGTCAAATTTTAATAAATTTGCTATACATACAAGGAAGCTACGGGTAAGTGAATCGTATAGTTTGATAAGAAACGGAAACCAAAGTAGTTAAGGTATTTTTTCAATTTTCACCACCTTTCTTCGAATTGAATCATTCTTCAAAATGAAATTAAAATGAACAAGTCAAGATATAATTTCGGATCCTGAGCCAAACAATGGCTGCATTTCTTTATTCATTCTGAACGTTTGGAATACACTTTTTTGTTTATTTATTCTATAGAACGTTCCTGATGATATGTTGACGTACATTTCAAACGCATTTTGTTTATTCCGGCTGTGAAATGGGATTATCCGGAATGTATAAAGAAACGCAGCCAATGTGCCTATTCAAGTGAATCGGTGTTTACATGCATACTAAGTACTAGTACATAGTAACTAAATAAATTGTAAACATTTTTATACTTGGACATTTATTAGTTCTATGTAATTGACAAATATGGAAATTTCCTTCAACAATGTTATTGATTGTAATTTCACATTGGCTGTAAGATAAAAAATAAAATTTAAAAACTGTAATTTTATAAAATAAATTGTGCGATATTTTTTGCGAAAGATTTAACTAACAAAGCATTGCTAATAATTGTTTTTTTATTTTCTTTTTGTTTTGTTTACTTTTTTAATTTTACTTCGGTTTAGCTGCTGCAAGTCAAATATTATTGTCTTTTTTACTCGTCATATGTAGGTGTGTATGCAATGTGTCAATCGCTAGGTTGGGCTTTTAAGTAGTTTTTTCAATTAATTGTTATAATATTTATGTTGCTAGGTGATTGAGTGCGTTTTTTGTGTAATAAATTTGTCCGGTTTTTTTTTTCTTCAAAAGCCAATAATCGCTTGAACTGCGTTTTTTCTTTTTCTTTTTGATCCCTTGTTTTTAGATGACACTATCTTTACTTCAGCGCAGAAACTCTTTGAGTTCTATATATGTAATCGCATAACTGAATAATTATTTTTTAATTTATCAGACATAACGGTAAATATTTTTAACTATAATTTATAGGAAACTTTAGCCGACTTTTCACTAATACAAGCACATTTGTCTTGCTATTGGACAGTCTGTCAAAGCACTCGAAATTTGAGTGAAAAAGCATGCATCCCTCTGCTTTTCTCCCATCAGTTTGCACAATCTTCGAAACTTTCAATACTCGTGAGTTTTTTTCAATAACAGAAATTTCACCGTTCTATGCATGCGTTACTTCAGCAAACCTTTTCACTCTTCTTTTAAGCGCCTAAAATAATATGAGTGAAATCACACGAATTTGTCTCAGTATTTCACTCAGTAACACAATTTATATGCTTATAATGAACTATTAAAGCAAATCATAAAATATGGTAAGTATGTTTGTGTTTATGCAAATACTCAAGTGTCAATATCAATAGTGGTGCAATGTAGTATGCCACAGCAACTGCTTAAGTATTTAAAACAACAAATTTCGTAGGTATGAGATGCCTGTTACCTAAAACTACTGCTAGAGCACTAAACTATAAATAAGTATTCATGTAAATAAATGAAAAGAAGTCGCAAAAAGCTACATAGGAATACATAATTATATCTTCTTATGCTCGTTGCAGGGAAGAGCTGCTTCGTGTTCAGAAACTCTGTTTTTTTTTTTGGTATATGGTGAAATAAAGGAGATTCTCCAGGAATCGTTTAAGTCATCATTGTCTTGAGATTATGTGATGCATGGATGTGCGTGTGTATCAATGTGTGTATATTTAATGATGTTAGGCGCCTTGCTGTGCGGCATATAGCGAATTTAGAGACCGGGTTTAGTACTGTCACCGACACCGCTGCTGCTGCTGCTGCCCGCATCCGAGGGTATAGGACTAGCTGTGGCGCTGCGATCATAGTCAGAACTTATGCTATCATTAGAAGTAATAATTTCCTAAAAATAGCACAACAACAAAGAACAAACCAATTTGAAAACAAATGCACTACGTAAGCACTCGAAAAAAGCAAAGCCAATAATATACAGCAAATTTAAAAACTTTTACAGCACATACATCTTCCTTCAACAACTCAAACTCACCTCATCTGCGTCGGTATTCTTAACAATCGCCTCTGGTATGTGCACCCCTGCCTCTTCAGCCTTTTCTGCCCATTCTTTCAAGTAATCAACTATAGCATGATGACCGAAATTCTCCGCTTCATCAATGGGCAAATTACCCCAACGATCCTTTGGATTATGTGGCACCTGACAGTGCTCCAATAAAAATTTCACACAGTCCAAATGACCTTCGGAGGCGGCTAAATGTAGCGCCGTTCTGCCATCATAGTCGGCCAACGTGATATCCATGCCGGAGAGGCGATGACGCCGTAATGCTGTCACATCACCGCTGGCCGCCGAGAATAGCAGATTGACAATTGACAGTCCTTTAGTCTCGTAACGATGTTTACGTGGATCCTTCTTATCCGACGCATGCTTCAGGTTATCGTAGCGATGGAAATTGAAGACGCTAACTAACTCTTCACAAAATTG